AGAAGAGAGAGGGAGGAGAGAGATTAGAAATACATCAGAATCCTTTTTTATTGATTGGGGTGGTTTATAAAAAATAAAATGAATTTTTTTCCAAAGGATATTTATGTCATTTTACATTTTGAAACGACAAACTCAAGAGAGTTTGCTGAGAAAAATGCTAAAATCAGAAAGATTTTGTGAAACACCCTATACTTGAGGGAGTTATATTAATTTTGTTAGGTCTTATGTTTATGAGCCTACTATCTAATCTAGTTTTGATGATTAACAAACAATTCCTAACATCGTTGTCAAGTATTTGTATTTGTTTGTTAGGTATTCTACATAAAGATCCTCAGTTGAAGGTTGGATGGACTTGCGCCTACACGATCATAACCGCTGGAGGATGGAAGGAATATCGGAATGAAGCTTTACATTTCAAGTCAAGTACAAGTTCAAGCTTCAACTGCAACCAAGACGAGCATATCGAAGATTTATTAGCTTACGTATATTGTTTATAGTTTAGATCTTATACTTTGTGTGTTTATGTTTAAAGCTCAAATATTACACACATACACATTTTCGGTTTATCGCTTTCAAGTTAAATCAAATAAATATGAAAGCTCAAATATTACACACATACACATTTTCGGTTTATCGCTTTCAAGTTAAATCAAATAAATATGAAACAAATAGTTACATTTACAAACATACATAATAAATATGAAACAAATAGTTACATTTACAAACATACATGCTAGTTTCATATTTATCATCTTTATTTGAAAAATAATATGTTTATGGATTAAAGACTTATTTACACTATTTTATACATTTTCTCAAGTCTATTAATATATTAAAAAGTGTTTCAAAACTTGTTTGTATTGATTTCATCAAGATCGTTTAACAGTTTGCAAAATAAATGAGTTTTCATAAATGAGAAAAGAAAATTGAGAAATTATTTTTCTAACATGTTCTATTACATGTTTATAAATATTTTCTAAAATTTTATCATTTTTGGAGTTGATTTACTATGTTAAATTGATTTTACAGGCTCAAGTGTTTCGACAGTTTTTAGAATCTGGAATGTCTATTTTAAAAAAGTGATTTCTCACAAATTCAAAGTGATATTTAGATATTTTTTCTCCAACATGTTTATCTACGTGTGTAGAAACTTTTCTCAAAATTTCATGATTTTGGAGTTGATTTGATATTTTTAATTGATTTTACAAAATCAGATACGTAAAGTTTTAGAATCTTCCGTGCATGTGATCAGTCGACTGAACAGTTTTTTCAGTCGACTGAACAGTAATTTCAGTGGAATGAACAGTGTACCATTGCATAAAGACTATTTTTTTCTAGATTTTAATTTTTGGGGGGTTTTGCCTCGTTTTTTGTGCTTTACTCTGGCTTGGGATGATATGTTGAGAGACTATATATAGTCCTCAACACTTAGATTTTGTTATGGAATTTTAGAACAAACTTTACAAGTTTTTAAGA